GAGAAAGGGACTGGCGCCAGGCAGAGATTGAGAAGACCCCCCAAGGGGCCGTCCTGTGGAACTTAGCTCCACCTACCCCCCCTTCCCAGAATTTTTAATATAATGTCTAGGAGAAAAAAAAGGAGGGGTGGGGTTTACAGGTGGAAGGATCCCCCAAACGGCCTTCTGATTCCGTGTCTTGGTCATGGATTTGGGTCATGGATTTGGGGGGGCTTATCTTTTGGAAAAGGAGAAATCCATATCGCTCTATTTGGAGATTTAAGATTAATTGTTGATAAGAGATAGAAACTACATTCCTCTCCAGTGTTTGCTTGCTAAGTATTTGATCATGAAATATTCATCTTCTTGCTGGGCGTTTGCTGGCGTTACAGCAATGCTGGGTTTTGTCTTTATGGTAATTTATTTTTCCGTTCTGCTTCCCTGGGACACCAGTCGGGTCGTTTCAGGTGACCTGAGAACCTGTTTCTTGGGGATATTTGCAAGGAGAAGAGAAGCCAAGATCTGATTTACAGGGTGAATAGATACGGCACACCCCAAATGATGTTGATAATAAAAACTTGAACCGCGGCCTCTGCACCAAGGAAGAGCGGTGGGCTGCTAGAGCATTCCTCTCTGCCCTCCAGATAGGGGGCTACATCCCCCATCGTTCCCAGCCTTGCCTGATCGAAGAGGACGGGAGAGAGATCACTCAAGCTCCTTGGGCTACTTCTCCATGGGCTTTCTGAAGGCAGAGCCGCTGGGAGTTCATCGGTCACTCTTACGGGGGCAGAGCAAAAGTGAGGGAACCGGCGAGCTGACTCGGGGCACGTGTCTTTTTTCTGAAGGGAAAAAACTAGCCGGCTGCCAGTTTGTTCCCTGAATCAGAGAAATCAAATGCAGGAAGTCCGTGAGTTCTTACTATGTTACAGAGCCCCTGATTATGACATCAAACGTGTAAACAAGCTAAATACACTACTAACCTGGGCAGCATCCTGCCCACATGCTTTTATCTTTCTCGGTGACTTCAATCTACCTCATATTGACTGGACCCTAAATGAATGTACAACTGAACCCATTCACAGGACCTTCTATAATGCTGTTACAAATCTGGGACTGGAACAACTAGTAACCAACAACACTAGACTAAACAACTGCCTCGATCTCATCTTTTGCAACAGTTTGAATTTAATTTACGGAATACAAACTAAAGAACCCTTTTCAAGCAGTGACCACAATTTGATTGACTTTTGTCTCAACATACGCCCACACAAAAATAATCACAATGACGTAATCCCCACTTATAACTTCAAAAAAGGCAACTATGATCTTATAGACAACGATCTCTCATCCCTTGATTGGCAATCTCTATTCACTGGATGCAATACTGTTGAAGACCATTACAACATATTTTTACTTGAAGTCAAAAGAGTCATCAAACTATATGTACCAACAACAACTCCCAAAAAAAAAACAAAAAAAAAACAGATTACCCATAACAATAAGGAAACTTCAATCCCAAAAGAGATCACCCTGGTGGAAAAACAAATCTGGTAACGTTGCCAATTTCAAAAGCCGATACAAAAATTTATGCCACCAGATAAAGACTGAATGCACCAATTATCACATTAAACAAGAGGAAAACCTATGCACCAATTCCACCCGCGCTTTTTACAATTTTGTAAACAACAAACTAAAAGACTCAAGGTTCATCCCACCCCGACAGGACCTAATGGTAAAGACTGTAATGACGACACCAGTAAAGCCAACATCTTTAACACATTCTTCGTCCCCGATTTGTCCCCGATCAGTATTTGTAAACAGCAATGGATCATGCCCAGTATTTCCTAGTCGAACCACAGACAACCACAATGATCTAATACATATCGATTTTACAGAAGATAATGTTGAAAAAGCACTAGGCAATCTAAAACCATCTCTATCTATTGGACCGGACGGAATAGGTGCCTACTTCTTAAAAAAGCTACCCACTGCCATAGCAGAACCTCTAAGCATAGTCTTTGAAAAATCTTTCAGGACCAGCTCCTTGCCTAACCTATGGTCACAAGCCACGGTCATCTCCATCTTCAAAAAGGGAGACCCCAGCCTAGTTGAAAATTACAGACCAATCTCCTTATGCTGCGTCACCTGTAAAGTCATGGAATCAATTATTAACCAATCCATCATCCTCCACTTAGAGACAAACAGCCTACTCTCCAATAAACAATTTGGTTTCAGGAAAAAACTATCCTGTAATCTGCAACTCTTACACTGCAAAAACATACGGACTACACGACTCGATCAGGGCAAAGCAATAGATGCAATCTATACAGACTTCTGTAAAGCCTTTGATTCAGTGGTACACGACAAACTACTCCTAAAAATAAAATCCTATGGTATCTCTGGACAACTACATAACTGGATAGAAGCATTCCTGTCAAACAGACAACAAATGGTCAAAATTGGGAGTGTCCTATCAAATTCTGTACCTGTCAATAGTGGTGTCCCCCAAGGCAGTATTCTAGGACCAACTCTCTTCATACGCTACATAAATGACCTCTGTGATCATATTAAGAGTAACTGCATTCTTTTCGCTGATGATGTAAAGCTGTTCAATACCACAGACAATACTGCTAGCCTTCAAAAAGACCTTGACTATGTATCAGAATGGTCAAACAAATGGCAACTTCAAATCTCAACAAATAAATGCTCTGTCCTACATATTGGCAAAAAAATATATATCAGAAAATAAAATACAAGCTGAATAGTCAAGACCTTGTTCATGAGCCAAGCTCTGTAAAGGACCTTGGAATACTCATCTCTAATGATCTAAGTGCTAGTGCCCACTGTAACTACATAGCCCAAAAGGCATTAAGAGTTGTTAAGCTGCGTAGCTTTTTCTCTGGTAATATCACACTACTAACTAGAGCATACAAAACATTTGCTAGACCAATACTTGAATACAACTCATCAGTCTGGAACCCACATTACGTATCTGATATTAACACAGTTGAGAAAGTCCAGAATTATTTCACAAGAAGAGTTCTCCACTCTTCTACTCGTTGCAGAATACCTTATGCCATCAGACTTGAAATTCTAGACCTAGAAAACCTTGAATTACGCCGTCTTCGTTCTGATCTAAGTATAGTATATAAAATCATACATTGCAATGACTTACCTGTCAATGAATACTTCAGCTTCAACCGTAACAACACAAGAGCACACAGTAGATACAAACTCAAGGTTAACTGCACCAAACTTGACTGTAGGAAATACGACTTCAGCAACAGAGTGGTCAATGTCTGGAATACTCTACCTGACTCTGTGGTTTCTTCCCCAAACCCCAAAAACTTTAACCTTAGACTGTCTACTATTGACCTCACCCCTTTCCTAAGAGGTCTGTAGGAGGCGTGCATAAGCGCACCAATCGTGCCTACCGTCCCTGTCCTATTGTTTCTTTTATTTTTCTTATAGGTACCCATTTCATGTATTCATAACTATTTATATACTTAATACCTATTATCTTGTAAGCAATTGACAAATCAAATAAATAAATAAAAAATAAATAAATAAATTATAACTGTTTGCTTAGTGACTGTTCCAAGTTATAACAGCACTGAAAAAAGGGACTTACAACCATGTTTCACACTTCTGACCGTTGCAGCATCATCCCCTTGGTCAGATGATCAGAATTCAGATGCCTGGCAACTGACTCGTATTTACGACAGTCTCAGCATCCCCTTGGGGTCATGTGATCCCCTTTTGCAACCTTCTGACCAGCCAAGTCAATGGGGAAGCCAGATTCACTTAATGACCGGGGGACTAGTTTAACGACTGCAGAGATTCACTTAACAACGATGGCAACAAAAGTTGTAAAACGGGGAACAGCTCACTTAACAACTGTCTCGCTTAGAAACAGAATGTTTAGGCTCAATTGTAAGTTGAGTATTACCTGTCTTTCTGTATTTTTTGTTGTGATGAATGAATAGCATTTTGAAAACGAGAGGTGCTTTACTTCTGGCTGGGGGTCTTTGCCCACCTCGGATGCCCCTGCTAAGGAAATCCAGGAAGGGCAGGAGGCCTCAGTGGAAGGCTAGCCACCCGATCTGCCCTGCAGCTTTCTAGCTGCTTGAAATTAAAAATTAAAAATAAAATTAAAAGAAAAAGGGCCCGGGTGCCGAAAGGAGGGGCCCTGCAAATGTATTCCAGAGCGAATCCCTCATTAGGCCAAACGGCACCCAGGTAACAGGATCCGTCCAGCGAGGAGCAGGCCTCCAGCCGCAGCCTTGTGGCTCTCTGCCTCCTTGTCCGAGACGGTTTTTATCCTTCGGCTGAGAGGCATCATTGAGACCTGCAGAGCTTTAGGGAGAGATGGAGAGGGGAAAATCAATGAAAAGCACCGTCGATAAATGTGAATCTTAATCCTATTTGTGATTCAGCAGGGGCGGATCCGAGCAAGGAAAAGGCACCCCAAGGCTTATAGAAACCCTGCGCAGGGTCCAGAAAGAATGACATCCCCCCTTTCCCCATAATTCAGGACCGTGGCGAGGGAGTCAGCCGGGGGTGGGGAGAGGTCAGGCAAGCAGAAGGGATTCTGGCAGCTTTTGGTTGTGTGGATTCGGGGAAGAAGACGGGGCGGGGGGGGGGGCGGCAATTGGACCCAATTCAGTTGCTGAATTGGACCCCGGCACGAAGCAGGAATCTCCAACCTTGGCCACTTTACGACTCAGGGACTTCAACTCCCAGAATTCCCCAGCCAGCTGTGCTGGAGAGGAACCAGCTGTGCCGGCTGGGATATTCCGAGCGCTGAAGTCCACAGGTCTTGAAGTGGAGAATTCTGGGAGTTGAAGTCCAAATCTTAAAAGAGGCCGTGTTTGGAGACACCTGTGCTGGAGGCTTCATCGGTGGAGGCTTCAGCCTGCAGGGGTCACTCCCCCCCCCCCCACCTTTTGGGTCTTCTGGTGGTGCCCATGGACCAGGCCCTCTGCTCACCTCTCTTCATCCTTTGCCCTGCAGACCCCTTCCTGACCGGCGCCATGGAGGGCCTGCTGCTGTGTCTTCTGCTACTCCTGGCCCACCTGGGCCGAGCTCAGGTGTGTCCCAAGCGCTGCATGTGCCAGAACCTCTCCCCTTCGCTGGCCATCCTGTGCACCAAGACGGGCCTCCTCTTTGTGCCCACCATGATCGACCGGCGCACGGTGGAGCTGCGCCTGACGGACAACTTCATCACCGTCGTCCGCCGGAAGGACTTCTCCAACATGACCAGCCTGGTGCACCTCACCCTCTCGCGCAACACCATCAGCCAGGTCCTGCCTTACGCCTTCGCCGACCTGCGCAGCCTGCGGGCCCTGCACCTGGACAACAACCGGCTGCTGATGATCGGGGCCGAGCAGCTGAAGGGGCTGCCCAACCTGCGCCACCTCATCCTCAGCAACAACCAGCTGCAGGGCATCTCCCCCGTGGCCTTCGATGACTTCGCCGGCACGCTGGAGGACCTGGACCTCTCCTACAACAACCTGGCGCGGGTCCCCTGGGACACCATCCACCGCCTGCACAACGTCAACTCCCTCAGCCTGGACCACAACCTGATCGACTTCGTGCCCGAGGGCGTCTTCTCCAACCTGCTCAAGCTGGCCCGCCTGGACATGACCTCCAACAAGCTGAAGAAGATCCCGCCGGACCCGCTCTTCCTGCGCATCCCGGTCTACGCCAAGTCCAAGGGCTCCCCGCCCTCCTCCCTGGTGCTCAGCCTGGGCGGCAACCCCCTGCATTGCAACTGCGAGCTGCTCTGGCTACGCCGGCTGGCCAGGGAGGACGACCTGGAGACCTGTGCCTCGCCGCCCGACCTGCTGGGCAAGTACTTCTGGACCATCGCCGAAGAGGAGTTCATCTGCGAGCCGCCGGTCATCACGCGACACACGGGCCGCCTGGTGGTGACGGAGGGCGAGGGGGCGGTCCTCCGCTGCCGCGGGGCGGGGGACCCAGAGCCCTCCATCCACTGGGTCTCCCCTGAGGGCAAAGTGGTGGCTAACACCTCACGGACCGTCTCCTACGACAACGGCACCCTGGAGATCCTGATTGCGGCCATCCAGGACAGCGGCCTCTTCACCTGCATCGCCTCCAACGCTGCCGGGGAGGCCACCACCTCCGTGGAGCTCGTGGTCAACCTGCTGCCGCTGCTCTCCAACAGCACCACCCCCAAGGTGCCCGAGGCCGTGGGGCCTTCGGACATCCTCACCTCTGCCATGGCCACCCTACCTCTGGGCGCCAACGACACGGGCGCCTCTCCGGAGAAGGGCGTGGTGGCCTCGGAGATCTCCTCCTCCTCCGTCCTGATCCGCTGGTACCCCCAGTGGCACATCCCTGGCATCCGCATGTTCCAGATCCAGTACAACAGCTCCTCGGATGACACCCTGGTGTACAGGTGAGCGGGTGCCCCGCTTGGGAGGCCTGGGGGTGGGTGGGGGGCGTGTTGCCCGGGGTTAGTAAGTGCTGGGAGCCCCTCCAGGGCTGGGAGTGACTTTCACGCTCAAGGGGGGCAGGACTGGCCAGGTCAGCTCTTGGGACCGGATGGACGTGGGAGTGCTCCCAACACAGGGGGGGGGATGTTAAGAAGAGGTTGGGCCACCGTTGGCCCGATAAACCATAATCAGATCACCATAATAGGTTGCCAAAAGAGTTGCAAGGGAGTAGATGTCACAGCGTTGCCTTTATTGCCATTTCTTTTAGTGTGAACACACTTGGCACACTTGAAAAATGCAATTCCGACCTGCTCTCTGAGGACTGGGAGGGGATGATGGGCCCCCAGTCCCCCTTGGAGGGGCCGATCTGCGGAACCTGAGTGCTGGAGGTGGGGGCTGAAGGGCTGGTGCCGGGCGCCTGGCCTCTCTTTCCTTCCTGAAGGTCAGATCCTTCCCCGCCTGATGAGGAACGCAGACTTGACAGTGAAATCTTGGGAGAATCCCAGAGGAGCCGGCGGGACGTCCGTGCCGGCGGTTCTCAGCTCCTCTCCGGCTCTGGCCTCTTTCTGGAGAAGCAGGTCCCGGCCTCCCAGCCTGCAAAATGAATGCAGAAAGGAGGGGGTGGATTTGCACGGAGCTTTTAGGTCTCTCTCTCTCTCTCTCTCTTTCAAATCTAGGCTGTTGGCTCCAGCTTCCTCTTCTCCTCGCGGAATGCCGGGGAGGGGGCAGCTGGCGGGGGGGGAGGGCAGAACAGGATGCACAACGTCGTTTTCTTTCCTTTGGAAGGGGCTGAGTAAACGGGGGGGGGGGTTCCCCAAACCACCCGGCCCGGTTCCAGGTCCCGAACAGGGTGGGTCCCGGGCGGGGGGGGGGGGGATTCCTCCCTTTTCTCCTTTCTGGAGACCCTCAACCTGCTGCCTTGAAGGGATAAAAATGCCGTCCAGCTCTTCCATCCAAGAGCGCCCAGCCGGCCTGTCCCTCGGCTTCCCTTGGGGAGGGTTGTGCCTCGAACCCAGGGCCAGAGGGGGCCGGGCCCCACCCCATAACCTTGTGCCTTGCTAGGGGCCCCCTTTCCCTGCCCTGGGCCCCCGCTGAGGGTCCCATCTCCTCCAGTCCAACAGGGCTCGGGGTCTTCCCTGAGGGATGGGGCCTAGGGAACGGGGAGCCCATCATCCTCTCCCGGTCCTTAGGTCCAGGCAGTCCTCGACTTAGGACCACAATTGAGCCCCCAATCCCCGTTGCTGAGCAAGACAGTGGTGAAGCAAGTTTTGCCCCCGTTCCTTGCCCCCGTTGTTAAGTGAACCACTGGACTTGTTGAAGGAGTGACCCGGTCGCAAAAGGGGACCGCGTGACCCCGGGACATGACGACCGTCATAAATAGGAGTCAGGGGCTATGTGTTGGACTTCTGATCACGTGATCCTCGGGGTGGCGGACCCAGCGGAT